CGGGGATCGATCAAGGTGGGTAGGGGCGGGGGAGGTGAGCGGGGGGGAGGGGTGGGAGGTTAAGGAGCGGGAGGGAAGGTGGTGGATAGGAGGGAGATGAGTGGAAGGCAGCGGAGGTGAGGATGAAGTGGTGCTCCTGGTTTTTGGAGGGAACAGAGCAACACAAACAACCAAAAGGCCAAGGCCACTCACTCACTCACTCACCCACCCACCAAAACTATCTTCTCTCTACAAATCTCTGTCTCTCTCTAGGAAAGATTCAAGTGTCCATCGAATCCAACAAGTATCTCCCTGCCTGCCTGCCTGCATTGCCCTGCCAAGTTGTGTTGTCATGGCCACAAAAGTGTCGCCGGCCACCGTCGACACGGAAGCTTCCTCTTCATCCTCTGCCTCGCCTTTGGGAGCGAGGGTCCGCCGGCACCAGTGTGGCGGCGGATCTTCGAGCACCTTTTTTTGTGTGTGAATTAACAAGCATGATATACAACAGCGGGGCTACATACAAGGTTGAGGGGGCCGTGCCCCTAAGCCAAATGATTTTTTCTTACAAGTTGGTTTTTGTGTGTGAATTAACAAGCATTATATATGCGGTGCTGCTCGTGACGCCATGCCCACAGGTCGACACATGGTGGAGGTTCGGGGAAATCGAATTTAATGATTTGCACAACCATTGGCAAAAAAGTTCTCGCCAATACTGAGGTGGTGCCAAGTCCTCGGTGCATGACACATGGCTTTGTATCCCTCGATGGAAAGTCTTTAGTTCTCGCCATTGTATAACACCAAAAGGTCACGGCAAAACCACTAATAAAACAAAGGGAGGTGGTGCCAAGTCCTCGGTGCATGACACATGGCTTTGTATCCCTCGATGGAAAGTCTTTAGTTCTCGCCATTGTATAACACCAAAAGGTCACGGCAAAACCACTAATAAAACAAAAGGGTACAAAATTATGATGAAAACCCAGTTTTATCATGGTGGCCTCGAGATAGCTCAATTCCACTCGACCATATGCCTTAACCATATCAAACTTTAGTTTACCATACTAGCATCCTACTTCCTCATTTTCTTCATAAAATGTAAACATTCATAAGCCGAGGACTGGCAAACGTTGGTATCTCATCCGAAGCTTGAGGCTTTGTCACAAAATCTTAAAAGGAACGAACAGTGTGAAAACCTACACATTTATGTGCTTTTACTTTTTTAAACATCTAACTTGTTGTGTGTCCACTTTAATCTATTTATATTTCCATATTTTCAGAATATTCAAATAGAAAACACCAAATATTGTTTGAAGAACAATGTACCTATTTTTTTTAGAAAAGCTACCAGGCTTTATTTATTGGTCACCATAGCTTCATTAGTGACTCACTTGGGCTTAACAAGCCCAACATGGTGGCCCGCGGAAAGATGAAACATTTTAGGAATTGCCTTTCATGTTCAAAAATATTCACAAAATGTTTTAGAAAACGTTCCGTTTTTTGGAAAAAAATAATGCTTGCATTTTTATAAAATGGGTTCTGGTTTTTCAATAAATCTTCTGAAATTCAATATTCTTCACCTTTTGAAATAAATAATCATTTTTGTGTTTTCAAAGGAAAACAAAAAAAAAACAATTGAAAAGCGGTAGAAACAACTCACTCGCTATACTGCTCTCTCGCTCGCTCCTAATCTTGGCCGGCACATTCGTTGTCCTCGGGCGCTACTTCTCGCACGCTGCAAGATGTAAGTTGGTCCTGCCTCTAGTTGTAGTGCTACTACGCCGGCCCATACTATTGCTAACACGCATGTTTTTTTTTCCAGTGGTTTTTGTTGGATTTTTTTTTACTATTTTGCATCTGTTTTTGTGTGGTTTTCTTTGGTATTCCTTTTCCCTATTTATTTTTCTTCTTTTCTTCATTTCTTCAGTTTCCCTTGTTTTCTTCATTCGGGTTTCACTGGTGTTCTTTGTTTTTGTTTTACTATTTCGAACAAATGTCCATTTTTTATAGACATTGTAAATTTCTTTGTGTATATCAGTAACATTTTTATATACATGCTTATTTTTTTTCAAATACATGATTAAAATATTTTCAAACATATGTTTTAATGTCTACTTTTTCCAAACTCATTGTCATTTTGTATATACAACTAAAACATTTATACACATCTTACATTTTTCAAATACATTATTCATCTTTTCAAATACATATTTTTTAACATTTTTAATATGTGTTAAAAATACAAATTTGTGTTAAATAATTCAAATACACGAGGTTACATTATTTGAAAACTATGCTAACATTTTATTACATTTAAAAAAATCACAAACACTTTTTTGAAACGCTTGAACATTGTTTAATTAATGTGGAAATCATTTTTATTGCTACGAATATATTTTTGAAATAGACGAGTATATTGTATAAAATTTTGGAAAAATGTCACATACATCTGTTTGAAACTCGTGAACATTTTTTAAACGTAACATACATTTTCTAAAAGTTGAGCGGGTGGTTTTTTACACTACATGAGCATTTTTCATGACGAACACTTAGAAAAAAAGTTAACTAAACTGATTTTTTAAATATATTTATTTATTTTTTTAAGAGTAAAAAGGAATAAAAACAAGTGGGAGATGTCAGCATGATGGACCCACATGACTATTGGACGGGCCTGCGAATGGGGAATAATCTTTCAGTGGACTATTGCATGACACAAATTCAGGCATCCCAGCCCATTGGGCTATCCTCTTTGAGCCCTCTCTCTTCGAGTGCCTACACCATCTATGTCTCGAAAAAAATCTATATCTATACCAATATAAAAAGGCCCAAGGGGGCAGATCCAATTAGTCTCGGCCATCAAATCATGTCAATCAACGACTAGGCTGCTTCAATGTCGAGCACTCAACACGTTTAGAGTGCAGTTAATTTCATGCCAAATACAATGCTAATCACATAATAACACACACAAAAATATCCTACTTAATATCGACATGCACTTAATATACTTCCAAATTAACGTGCATTACACGTACACATTGACTAGTATTAGAAACGCAAGTCATTTTGAGTGGTGACGGTACCTAGCGGTAGATCTCATGCCACTCGTATTTTATGAGATCCATGTGAAGCTATGGCCCACCCAGATGTATAGTAGTTGTATAGTTCTTGTATATCTTTCTTTTAGTTAAATCAGTGTCAGCTTAATGGGCCCAGAGGATCACCTTTTGTCATGGGAGATGCCCATGTAGCTCTCTTCTCTTTGTTTACCTCCCAAACAATGACCCTCATCATCCGAACACATGCACTAGATCAAAGCGCCTTAGAGCGTCCTCACCACTGCTCTTTTGTGGTCGTCAACACTGAACCCAGACGGCTTCCACCAATAGACAATAGCCATCATTAAGACGTGCCACCTAATTTGAGACGGCGAGTCGATGGAACGCCCAAGCTTGGATCACATGTCGATTAGCGCAAGCCAACCGTGACATTCGCATCCGAAAGCCGATAGTCATTTGAAAAGATGCTAGCCGGCCAGGGCCAGAGATGGCAAGAGGCCAGATCGTGTGCGTATTCTTGGTTGCATTTGGGACCTGCACCAATTTGTGAACGGGTCATCACTATTTCTTATATTTCATTGTGTAGTAAGTTGTGCTATTGGATTGTTTGATTTTGGCTTGTAATTTGGGTTATATATGTGTGAATATATATAAGGCTTTTTGACTTGCACGTTAGGATCCCGTTAGGTGTTCGAATAGTTTTGACCGTTGGTTTGAGAGGGTCTGATATAGTACATGCGGTTTCCCATGGTTTTGAATTTCGCCTTAGGACGAGTGTTACTGGCAACGATGATGTTCTAATTTTATTCAGCAACTTCGCACCTGTCGCACGCAGACGAAACTATTATACCGGTGGAATGAGCACCCATGTCTTATGGTGGGATAGAATATCACAAGAGTAGTCAAGGAGGAGCATCAAACTCTAACACTATGCCTAGCTCGAGAAGATCGAGAGCATCAACATGGCCACATTAGAACCCATGGGAAGGATGGAGCGAGAAAGATGTATGTCCCTGTAAGAACGCACGAGACCTTTTACTAGTGTTATCATAAATACAACCTTCTTCATCACATAAACTTAAATTTCGGTGCCTATGACAAACTCTAGTGCTCAAGCAGAAGCCAAATTATGAAACCACAAATACAATGATTTTCCAAGATTTAACTTTGATCAACGGTTAATCCATCTATACGGCCTAAATTTAGCTTATGAATTATTTGCCCTCGCTTCCTTTTGACGTACGATACTCTACCACGTGTTGCCCAAACCACCCCTAATAAATTCCCCCAACCCGACCAAAGAAGCCCAACCCATTCAAGATCCAGCATCAAAGCACCCATCTTTCCTCTCTTTCCTTGCCGCCATCTTTCCTCTTCCTCATATTGCTAGGGATTTCCCGCCGCCGGCGAGGAGGAGGAGGGAGAGGTTGTGGTGATGATGGTGGGCGGTGGGACTGCTCGGACAGAGGAGGGCATGGGAGATGCGTCGAGGATCTATGATGACAGTGACGTACTTGCGGAGGTCGGCGTAGAAGGGCACGGAGGAGATGAACAGGGACAGGGTGTGTGTGTGTTCCTGGTGATTGTGGACGTTACGATAGGCAAGATATCCGTCCACGTGGTGCCCCCATCACCAAAATCACCTATAAATAAATACCCCGCCCGGACCCCATAAGCAGGCCCAACCCACACCGCAAGAAACAAAGCTCCCATCTTTTCCTCTTCCTCCGCCGTCGCCGCGTCTCCTCCCCGATCCCCAATCCCCGATCCGTCCGCCCCCACCCCCAGCCCAGATCCAGGCGATGGCGGCCGCGGGAGACGCCGGCGAGAAGAAGATGGTGACGCTCAAGAGCTCGGACGGGGAGGAGTTCGAGGTGGAGGAGGCGGTCGCCATGGAGTCGCAGACCATCCGCCACATGATCGAGGACGACTGCGCCGACAACGGCATCCCGCTCCCCAACGTCACCTCCAAGATCCTCTCCAAGGTCATCGAGTACTGCAACAAGCACGTCCAGGCCAAGCCCGCCGACGCCGCCGACGCCGGGGCCGCCGCGCCCGACGCGGCGGCGCCCCCCGCCGAGGACCTCAAGAACTGGGACGCCGAGTTCGTCAAGGTCGACCAGGCCACCCTCTTCGACCTCATCCTGGTATGGAATCCCTCGACCCCCCTCCTTGTAAACTCTAGATCTGCTGTTTCGTGATGCTGTTCCCCTTTTGGGGCTGGGGCTCGGATCGAGATTGGTCTGCCCGTGGATTAGATTGGACGGGCTACACGCGCCGTCGTCGAGCCAGATTAGATTCGAGCGGATTAGGTTAGGTTTACATGATTGGTCTGTTGCTTGTCCTACTCTGCAATCTGGAGATTGGATAGATTAATATCGTGAAAAACAGATATTTTATTCGATGTACACAGGGACCATTCCATGTTCTTGTGGACGTGGGAATAATTGATTGCCATCCATTTCAACTTGTTAGATGCACTATCATTGTGCCAGTTAATTGTGCGAGTGGTAGAGAATGTCAAGTTTCTCTCTGATTAACTTGTGGAAACATCAGAACACACAGAACAATAAATATATGCGCTGTTGTTTATCTAGCAATTGGTTCACTGTTAATTGTGCTTTTTACATAGTGATGCAAAATTACACAATTAAACTATTGTTTCAAACTTTGTATCCATGTCTTTACTATCTTGTCTAAACTTCTGGATCCAAATTTGCATGCCTTCTATCTATCACGGTTGCCTGATTATGGTGTACTAGCAACATTACATACATTGCATAGTGGTAGCTAAATTTCCACATATTGTGCCTGTTCTTGTGCCAAGCGATAGTTGCCAACTGTAAAATTCTGAGCTTTTCTGCAGGTCTTCAGTAGTATTGCTTTGAACTTGTTTTCTTACTGTTATGTTGTTTCTTGTTTCATTCTAGATAGGGTGGTATCTCAGATGTTGCATTTACATAATCCAAGACCATACATTCCTTACCCCCGATCCCATGTTCTGTCTTGCTTCACTGTTCCATATATATAGTGACAGCTGATACATACTGTTGCCAATGCGTTCAGAGAAGTGGTGCTTGTCATCTGAACCCATGCATGAATTTCCAAAACTTATCCATATGTTCAGTTATCATCTTTTCTGCAAGAATGTAGTAGTATCAGCTCTGACTCTGTTTTATCACAGTTATGTTATTTTCTTTTGACTGTTGATCTTGATCCAGTTGCGTTAGTCACTCATGACACCTGAACCCATGTTCTGGGCTTTGAATAGATATCTAATTGATGAATCCATGCCTTGTTTTGTATGTGTTTTTTTGCCGCAAAAACATTCATGTAGTATGTCTTAATTAGCTATGTTTTTGTAAATGAATGCTTCTCTCTGACATGATGCTGCTCTTTTTGCCCCTTTGGCCCCTCTCAGGCCGCAAACTTCCTTAACATCAAGGGGCTGCTGGACCTGACCTGCCAGACTGTTGCAGACATGATCAAGGGCAAGACCCCGGAGGAGATCCGCAAGACCTTCAACATCAAGAACGACTTCACGCCCGAGGAGGAGGAGGAGATCCGCAGGGAGAACCAGTGGGCCTTTGAGTAGAGGCGGTTGAGTAGAGGAGCATGTAGGTGATGCTGTCCGTGCTGGATGAACAATGCTTAGTATTCGTCATGTCTGCGTTTTAGCGCCCTTTGTTATGTCATGATAATGGTTTCATCGAACAGCCCGAGGTATCGCTCGTGTGAAACCCTGACCCTGTCGTCTGTCGTTGTTTGCTGTGGCGTGAGTGTGTAGACTTGTGGCACCGCTGTCGATGAAGAGGCCCTTCTGCCTCCTCTTGCTCTGCTCCGCTGATCCCAAATGTGGCCGTCAACGCCATTGGTTCGCTGCAACTAAACATATCTCTAGCTAGCTTAGATTCTAACCCCAATCGTGCTATCAATTATGGAGCCTAAGTACACCTGCACATGTGTGTTTATATACCTCAAGCATATTTAGTATCTTCATAATTCCCGCGCAAAGTTATCCTGCATGTGTTAATTTCCTTGCTTGATACATACATGCGGTTCATCTTTGATCTTTCTGATCATTGGACATACATGCACCCTTACTAATTGTTGCCGTATGTTTGTGTGATGTTTCTTTTTTCTCGAAAGATGCACACAACCTTCATGTTCATGTATGTGTGACATACTACGCTTAAATTCATGTTAATTAGGAAGCAGGTGCATGTGAAACCATGGAGCGGAGTGTGACTAATTGAGTTTCATTCTAATTATTTTTACATGAAAAACCAAAAGAATGATGAAGTCGATACAAGTCAACGTGGTAGAGATTGGTGAAAATCCAAGGAACAAGTCTTGGTCATGATAAACTACATGATTAAGCCATCGGTGCGACAGCTGTGCATGGATAGATAATTACCATTTGCACGTACTAGATGTGAATAATTAAGGAGGTCAACGGCTAGTTAGCGATATTTGTCGCATTTGCAAGAAAACGATTTGCGACAGATTATGCACATGTGTAAAGGACAATTGGGACGGAGAGTACATGCCAAGTATATATTTGAGCTATATATGCTGTATAAAGGTATACTCGTCAAAATTTTGATTGAGTTGGTTAATTAGATGGGATGCAAGGTCATTTCTTGATGCAACTTGGCCAGGATAATTATTGTTAGCTTGCATAACTGACTACAAAATTGAATAGCCAATGACAAAATGAAAATTAATGCGCAACTTGGATATGTGGCGAATGTGGGGCCACATCACACAGGATGAAAGAACATATGCAATTTGGGGTCACATGGCACACCTGTTCTCTGGTTTCTTACTCCTCGAAACTTTATGTTTTATTAAAAAAGAATGTATGATTTTGTAGAAAACTGACAAACATGCTTTATTAATCTAGATTGATACATTTTTTGAGTGACATGAGCGGTATTAGTAGAATCATGTACTTCTCTGGCAAAAAATGCGGGTCTTTTAGCATTTTTATTGGTTAAATATTTCTTGGTTTGGTTGTTTACTAAAAAAATAGTAGCATCAACAACAACAAAAATACAATATTTATCATGAGAAGTAGGTTCTATAATATATTTATTTTTATGAGAGCAAGATGGATGTTGGCACAGATGGTAAAAGTACCGTCTAGAGACTGAATTGATTGATACACGTAAAATGAAAATTGCAGCTTACCAACTTGATGATAATTAACGGCTTGACCTACGGAGGAGATGCATCATATGGCAGTAATTATAAGCAACCATAAGAATAGATTAACGCCACAAGTTGCATTAAACTGTTTGCTCTGAATTTGGTCTCCTTGTTGAGATTGCCGGTAGCCTGGTACCAGTTGAACGCATATATTGGCCTTACATAGCCCACATGCCATATTTCATCTTTAAGCTGAACTGAGATATTTGTATATATTATACAGATAGCTGACCGAGTGATATATGGATCGGAGATGCCATTACATGGACAGGAGTTGTAGTTTTGGCTTTCATGCATGGTACTCCTGTATGTTGGGCGGTCAATCTCAGTATTTTTTTTCCTTCTGATTATCATATGTACGGTCTACAACTCTACGGGCCATGCATGCATCCTCATGTTCTTGGGGTTTTTTTTTAATGCGCTAGATTTGTGAAAATTGTACCCGCGAGAAAAAGACATGGTCAAGTTTAGTTGTTAAAGTCATATGGTTACCCTTAAACAAATTATCATTATATCATATATATATGATGAGAAGTCATGCAGCCATGTATGTGATCGCCAGAGGTGTATATATAGAGCATATAAGTACTAGATAATTAGTGCCACTTGCAGGTATGAGCCAGTGGCACTATACAAGTAACATGCCAAATGATGATGATGAGCTCTAGACACAATCCCGGGTTGATGAACAACAAGGTCGACTGCTAATTAACTTTGTCGCATTGTTTGGAAGAAATGGTAATTGGGAACCAGGTGCCTGGTCTTTGAGATATATATCACTAGTAGAAAAATGGTCAAACGTGAAGCACATTAATGCCGGTTTGAATTTAAGCCGGCACTAATGTGACCATTAGTGCCGGTTCCAACAGCTAGACGGGTGGGCATCATTAGTATCGGTTCGTGGGCAACTTTTAGTGCCGGTTCATGCCACAAACCGGTACTAATGAGGCTGTGTCAGGCTATGGTCAGGCTAGGGCTCCACGAAGACCGTAAAATTTCTAACATGTTCTGATATCATTTGTTGGTTTTCGGTTATGTACCTAATTGTTTAGAGAGCTAAATGGCCGTGAAATTGAAAATCACTACAAAATAAATTCTGAAAATGTTGAAACTTGGCATGGTATTATCATTTCACCCGCTTAGCATGTGTGAAAAAGTAGAGAGGGTCACGGCAAAAACTGGACACACTTCGTGTACAAACTGGACAAACTCTTTCGGAGTATCGGGGTTTCGGACGAGAACTCATCTGTTATACGGGCACTTCAATGTTTTTTAAACTTATTTGAACTCCGGACTTTTTTTGTGTTCAGTATGCAGCATTCAAAGCGACGTCATCAATTTCCAACATGTTCTGATATCATTTGTTGTTTTTCGGTCATTTACCTAATTGTTTAGAGAGCTAAATGACCGTGAAATTGAAAATCACTACAAAATGAATTCTGGAAATGTTGAATCTTGGCATGGTATCATCATTTCACCCGCATAGCATGTGCGAAAGAGTAGAGAGGGTCACGGCAAAAACTGGGCGCACTTCGTGTACAAACTGGACAAATTCTTTCGGAGTATCGGGGTTTCGGACGAGAACTCATCTGTTACACGGGCACTTCAATGTTTTTTAAACTTATTTGAACTCCGGACTATAAAAAAAATGTTTAGCGCGCTGCCCAGTGGGCCTGCCAGACCTAGGGTGTGCAAATGCAGGCCCAGAAGGGCCAGCAGACTCACAGGGCAGCGCGCCCTAGTTAGGCCCAGAAGCCTGCTATATAGAGAAGCTCGAAGGAGCAGCCGCGGCTGGGTTTATAAACCAGTGCGATTGCCCTTCGCTCGGCAAGGTGGGACTAAATATTGTGCACCGCCGTGGCAGCGCACAATCATTAGTACCGGTTGGTGGCTCCAACCGGTACTAAAAGGGGGGTCTTTAGTACCGGTTCGTGGCACGAACCGGTACTAAAGGGGTCGTTTCCCGCCCCTTGGCCTGGCGAAAATTGGCCTTTAGTACCGGTTGGTGCCTCCAACCGGTACTAAAGACCCCTCCTATATATATGGCACTTACAAAAAAATCAGTTTCATCGACCACCAGTACTTCTTCTCGATCCAATTTCTTCGCCGTGCCCGTCGCCCATCGCGCGTCGCCCTCGCCGACCCCGCCGCCCGTCGTCGCCATCACCGCCGCCCCCCCCGCCCGCCGTCGCCGTCACCGCCGTCGCCCCCGCCAGCCGTTGTCG